GGGGATACAATCTTCCCAGCTCTGCAGATTTTGCTGTGAAGAGGCAGAATCATTAGATCATTTGTTTTGGTTCTGTCCATTTGTAGCGTGTTTTTGGACACAGGTCCAGGAATGGCTAAAGGATTGCAATATTTACCTGGAGTTAACCTTGCAAATAGCATTACTGGGTGATCTGAAAAGTCATAGTCAATCAATCAATAATATAATAATACTTTTAGCAAAAATGTTTATTTTTAATTCACAATCTGTAGAAGCAATGAGAATAGAAAGGTTCAGAACTTTTGTAAAACATCACAGTACGGTTGAAATATATATGGCAAATAGAAATCCTATATGGATGGTGTTAAGAGATAGATGGGAGGTATTGAATAGAGTTGGAGGATGGGACTAATAATAACAAAGATAGCTAATAATGTAAGCATACTGTGTCCATAATAAGTATATAGGTTGTATGTTGGGAGCTTTTGGGAAAGAGCACAGTTAGAAAGATATGGCATATAGAAGCAAACCGGATGGACATCATGAAAATGATCGGAGAGGTTGAGAGTAGAAGAAGTTCAGGAGCAAAAAAATAAAAAATAATAATATATAATAGAATTATTGTAAAATTAACTGTGTCCATAAGGTGTAGATAGTAAGTATAGACCGGAAGTAGAGGCCTGGGCATTGTTGTTCACTAATTAACTCCAAGTAGGGAAAGGATGGCGGGGTTGAAAAGTAATAAAGGGGAGTATATATATATATATATATATATATATATATATATATATATATATATATAAAACCATGGGGGATTGGAAGTGATGCAGACAATTACATTGATAGAAGATTCAATCTATCTGCAATATTAAGCTGATCCACCCCCCCCAAAAAAATAAAAAAAATAACCACTTTATTTTAATAATGTGAAATGTCCGAATAATAGTCGAGATAATTATTTATTTCAGCTTTTTATTTATTTCATCACATTCCCAGTGGGTCAGAAGTTTACATCCACTCAATTAGTATTTGGTAGCATTGCCTTTAAATTGTTTAACTTGGGTCAAACGTTTCGGGTAGCCTTCCACAAGCTTCCCACAATAAGTTGGGTGAATCTTGGCCCATTCCTCCTGACAGAGCTGGTGTAACTGAGTCAGGTTTGTAGGCCTCCTTGCTCGCACACGTTTTTCAGTTCTGCCCACACATTTTCTATAGGATTGAGGTCAGGGCTTTGTGATGGCCACTCCAATACCTTGACTTTGTTGTCCTTAAGCCATTTTGCATGTCGCTCTGAATAAGAGCGTCTGCTAAATGACTTAAATGTAATGCTTGGGGTCATTGTCCATTTGGAAGACCCATTTGCGACCAAGCTTTAACTTCCTGACTGACGTCTTGAGATGTTGCTTCAATATATCCACATAATTCTTCTTCTTCATGATGCCATCTATTTTGTGAAGTGCACCAGTCCCTCCTGCAGGAAAGCACCGCCACAGCATGATGCTGCCACCCCCCGTGCTTCACGGTTGGAATGGTGTTCTTCGGCTTGCAAGCCTCGTTCTTTTTCCTCCAAACATAGCGATGGTCATTATGGCCAAACAGTTCTATTTTTGTTAATCAGACCGGAGGACATTTCTCCAAAAAGGACGATCTTTGTCCCCATGTGCAGTTGCAAACCGTAGTCTGGCTTTTTTATGGCGGTTTTGGAGCAATGGCTTCTTCCTTGCTGAGCGGCCTTTCAGGTTATGTCAATATAGGACTTGTTTTACTGTGGATATAGATACTTTTGTACCCGTTTCCTCCATCATCTTCACAAGGTCCTTTGCTGTTGTTCTGGGATTGATTTGCACTTTTCGCACCAAAGTACGTTCATCTCTAGGAGACAGAACGCATCTCCTTCCTGAGCGGTATGACGGCTGCGTGGTCCCATGGTGTTTATACTTTTGTACTATTGTTTGTACAGATGAACGTGGTACCTTCAGGCATTTGGAAATTGCTCCCAAGGATGAACCAGACTTGTGGAGATCTACAATTCTTTTTCTGAAGTCTTGGCTGATTTGTTTTGATTTTCCCATGATGTCAAGCAAAGAGGCACTGAGTTTGAAGGTAGGCCTTGAAATACATCCACAGGTACACCTCCAATTGACTCAAATGATGTCAATTAACCCATCAGAAGCTTCTAAAGTCATGACATAATTTTCTGGAATTTTCCAAGCTGTTTAAAGGCACAACTTAGTGTTTGTAAACTTCTGACCCACTAGAATTGTGATACAGTGAATTATAGGTGAAATAATTTGTCTGTAAACAATTGTTGGAAATATTACTTGTGTCATGCAAAGTAGATGTCCTAACCGACTTGCCAAAACTATAGTTTGTTAACATGAAATTTGTGGAGTGGTTGAAAAACGTTTTAATGACTCCAACCTAAGTGTATGTAAACTTCCGACTTCAACTGTATGAGGCTATGTATTTTTGCAGCAATTCATGGACAGTTTTGAAAAAGTCATACAAATAAGCATTGGATATTGAATGCTCCAGGCCTCATATAATTTTTGGACATTTTAGTATTTGTGCACATGCTAGGCAGAGATGGTAGGAGGACTCACAACTCATAAACGCATCATATTTTGTCTATGTAGAGTAAGATGATGGCAAGGATCTTCAACTAGTTGGCATAAACCACCTGAATATTCATTCGATTTTTCTTGAAGGTCAGGTGATTTAGAGAAATGAATTGTTAGAACAAGAAGATTTTCAAACACTCAGCACTTGGGAAACATAGATCAGGGGTGGCCAACCCTCCTGGAGCGCAAGCAGGGTTTACCCAAATTACAAAATGTTTGTGTCCTTACCTTGAAAACAATCTATGGACAAGGAGACTGCAATCTATGATTTGGTTACCCACTGCCATTAACCATTAATATTAGTATTTATTGATCAGAGCCTTGGTGAAGTGGTTAAACTCCCCGGCATGTGTCGCATAAAACTTTCCACTTGAAAACAGGAATCAATCCCTACTTCCAACCTTCCCACTGTTTCTCCCATTTGCATGTCTCCCCATCTCATTTCATTACTGTCTGAATAAAGTGTCAAACCACCTCAATAATATGTTTAAAAAATAATACTTTACATTTCATCACCCAAAAATCTCAAAGTAACAAAGATGTCAAATGTTGAGTATTCATTTAATGCTCAAAGCATCCTGAATACACCTTTATATTATTAAAATGTTCCACCCTGGACATAGGCCTAAGCCATGTCAAAATACATGGAATGACAGAAAATTAGCTTTAAAACAATACACATTTCCTTGGGGGGGGGGGGGGGGGGACCATCAGACTGCCCATCTAGGGGTTGTGCAGTGGCGATTTTAGCATGTAAATCTTGGTGGGGCAAACAAAACAGTGGGAGGCCCTGGTGCTCAGTTGTGCACCAGGGCCTCCCACTCCTCTTTCTATTCTGGTTAGAGCCAGTTTGCGCTATTCTGTGAAGGGAGTAGTACACAGCGTTGTACGAGATCTTCAGTTTCTTGGCAATTTCTCACATGGAATAGCATTCATTTCTCAGAACAAGAATAGACTGATGAGTTTCAGAAGAAAGTTATTTGTTTCTGGCCATTTTGAGCCTGTAATCAAACCCACAATTGCTGATGCTCCAGATACTCAACTAGTCTCAAGAAGGCCAGTTTTGTTGCTTCTTTAATCAGCACAACAGTTTTCAGCTGTGCTAACATAATTGCAAAAGGGTTTTCTAAGGATCAATTAGCCTTTTAAAATAATACACTTGGATTAGCAAACACAACGTGCCATTGGAACACAGGACTGATGGTTGCTGATAATGGGCCTCTGTATGCCTATGTAGATATTCCATTAAAAATCAGCTGTTTCCAGCTACAATAGCCATTTACAACATTAATAATGTCTACACTGTATTTCTGATCAATTTGAAGTTATTTTAATGGACATAAAAATAGCTTTTCTTTCGAAAACAAGGACATTTCTAAGTGACCCCAAACTTTTGAATGGTAGTATATATATATATATATATATATATATATATATATATATATATATATTTTACATTGTTTGCGAACTGATATGTGACATGACCCTGCATGACGGGTCGCCACTGGGGTTGTGCCAGGGGGCAATTAAATTTAAATAGCAAATCTCAATCCAAGCTTAATTCAAAAGTTGGCAGCCCTGAAGCTAGGTGACACTGCATGCTGCAGTTGGTGAGAAGCAACTGCAGTCATGGCCAGAAGGTCATTCATTACCTTTTGTCAAATTAACATCAGATTTGACTTTTCGTAGCAGGTTTGGAGAATTAACACAACAGATTAGGTTAAGGTTTGGGAAGGGGTTAGAAAAAAATCAAAACAAATATACTTGTGTGGTTATCTCATAAAAGCTGGATCCCTTCTAGTCATGACCAGCGATTTGAAGGCGACTTTATCAAAAACCGCATGACCTTTGATCACATCAACATGTAGGCGCAGTCGGACAATTTGTATCCCCATAATGCAACAACCTTTGAAACGGACTAGACAACATTTATCCTCTCGAAAGCGCCCTGTTCCTAGCATAGAATGTAAATAATAGGTTCCTAGCCGGTGATGTACTTCCTGTGTCATGACCTTTGTTTACTGTCTGTTAACAAAAATAGCTAGATCTATCGTTTTCCCCGGTGAATGTTTACGTTCAAACTGGCTGTATGTTGATTAAGAGAGAAGTGTCAGCCTTGTTGACTAACGGACATGGTCTGAAAATGAAATCGGAAAATGTTCACAACTATCCATCGTTGCAGGAACATCTATTTTCTATCTTCGTAACAACAAGTTACCTAGCAGCTAGCTAGTTGTTAGCTCCTCGCAACAACTATTTTCAGCTAGATTAGGCTATCTAGGTAGCAAGTTAACAAGACAAACCGAGCCTATAGCTATATTTATTTTTGGTCAGGTGTCAAGCCTTCCCGTCTGTTTCAACTATCACTGTGTGCATGATATGGCCTGCAATTTTTTTAACATGGTGAGTTTTTTATCGCTATCATTTTCTAACATTCAATCGTGCATTGTTCGAAAAATGCATACAGGTAGCTAGCCTATTCATAGACACTAACTAGCTACTTTGGGATAAGGCAGAATGCCTTGATTATAATGCCTTGTGTTTTCGAGAGCAAATCGGTAACTAGCAAGCGAGGTAACTATGTAACGTTATCTGCTGAAATGTAATCCACGACGATGGCTAGTTAAACCTTTCTTAGCTGGAGGTGCTCGTTATTTTAATTATTTTTTTATTTATTTTTTACAATTGACCATCACCAGACATTCTCTACCTCCTGGGTGTATCTGGATATCAGGTCTCATTGGCGACCATTTTAACTTAGCCATTATAACTATTTAAACGCTTGGTATGCGATTTGGGAATGCTGCCTGGAAGTGGCTGGGGCATAATTGTCTAATGGTGATCTCTTACTGTGTGTGCGCACTTGTTCCAGGATGAGGCGTCCCCTGCATCTCTGACGGACCTGTGTCTGTCCTATGTCAGTAGGAACCTGGAGAGGTTCTGTGTGAAGCATGCTGATGGATCTCTCTGTCTCAGAGACTCTCTGCTGTTTCCCCAGGAGCTAGCTGACCAGCTGCTGGCTAAGATGGCCACTGAAGGTGAGCAAGGAGGATGAAGTAGTCAACGGTCACAGATCCAAGCTCAGATCCTTACTTTGATAATTAGTAGAAAACACAAAACAGGCATTTAATTCAGTGTCTAGAGCAGTAATGGGCAAATTCCATTCCTTAAATGATTTTGTCTCAGCTCTAACAAAAAAGTGTGTGTGCATGTTTCCAGGTCTGTTGAATGACAGTACAGTAGGAGTGTTTCGTAGCAGTGAGTACCTCCGGCTGCGTCGTGCATGTATCCGTACGGCCCGTATCTCTGCCGAGGCGTTCCAGAGAGCTCTCTGTCCTCACCGCCTGCTGGAGCTGGACGCTGCCAGGGTCAACGCTGACCTCACCGTCTCTGACATACTACATGGCCTTGCCTCCAACAAACACTGCCGGGTAAACACACTAATAAGAGAGCCTCCAGCAGGTACAGACACCCACAAACACTCTCCTTCTCTCACTCTCCCCCTTCTCCCTCTCCCCCCCAGGAGAGCTTGCAGCGGTTGGTCCTTACAGGTCTGACCATGTCCTCTCTGGAGGAACCATCATGTCACTGTTTCAGCTCTCTCCAGGGGCTCCGCTCCCTCTCCCTGGCCAATGTGGATTTCTACGACTCTGGGCTGGCTGACGTGTGTTCCCTGTCCCGCCTGGAGAGCCTGGACCTGTCCAACACCTCAGTTACCAACCTCAACCCTCTACTGGGTCTCAGAGAGAGGCTGAGGTCACTAACACTACACCAGCTGAAGAGGCTGGAGATGAGCACTGCACAGCTACTGGCTGTCATTGGACAACTGGAGGCACTGCAGGTGGATGGGGACAGCTCTAATGCTGAAGTTCTGCATTGATTTGCTCCACTATAAAGAGCATATACACTATATATACAAAAATATGTGGACACCCGTTTAAATTAGTGGATTCGGTAATTTCAGCCACACCCGTTGCTGACAGGTGTATAAAATTGAGCACACGACCATGCAATCTCCTTAGACAAACATTGGCAGTAGAATGGCCTTACTGAAGAGCTCAGTGACTTTCAACAGGGAACCGTCATAGGATGCCACCTTTCCAACAAGTCAGTTCGTCAAAGTTCTGCCTTGCTAGAGTTGTCCCGGTCAACTGTAAGTGCTGTTTTTGTGAAGTGGAAACGTTTAGGCGCAACAACGGCTCAGCCGTGAAGTGGTAAGCCACATAAGCTCACAGAACGGGACCGCAGAGTGCAGAAGCGCGTAGCGCGTAGGAATCATCTGTCCTCTGTTGGGGTACCAACTCCATATTAATGCCCATGATTTTGGAATGAGATGTTCGACAAGCAGGTGTCCACATACTTTTGGTCATGTAGTGTACATTGCTGAGCCAAGTTTCTGAAACATTATTAGCGATCCGTCACTGTGATTGTTAGCTATCCCTGAACGTTACTTGCGGTGCTCTAATGGGTTTACTTCTGATACTCATGCTTCTGATACTTTTGTGTGTGAACCTACCCATGCAGCACCTGGACATCAGTGATGATAAACAGTTCACATCAGATGTGGCTCATCAGCTGCTGGGTGAGCCTGGGATCCTGCCTGCTCTGGTCTCGCTGGATGTGTCTGGACGCAAACAGGTACTGGAGACAGAGTATGAGTTTAGTTGACTAGAGTTGTGAGTGGGTGTATTGCAGACCTGGCTGTGTGTGTAGAGCAGGGTTCACCAATAGGTGGCCCCATCAAAAACATGTTATATATTATATATCTTTTTTTATTTTGTGGTTTTTGCTGTTGGACATAAAGACTGTAAAATCACAAAAGAATCAGCTCTAAGTGATTTTCATTTATGAAATCTGTTCCCAGGTATCCCCACTCATAAATACAGAGGCATCTGTTGTTAAATCAAATGTTAAATCTTTTGGGGACTCTTGCGGTCAATTTGCAGTTTACAAATTATTTATAACTATGTTCTGGCCCCCCAAACATCCGCTCAAGGAAAATTTGGCCCGCGGGTGAATGTAATTGGGGACCCCTGGTGTACCGGTAGATTGTTTACCTGTGTGTGTGTTATGCCAGGTGACAGATGCGGCGGTCAAGGCGTTTGTAGAGGAGCGTCCAGGGATGACCTTTGTTGGTCTACTGGCTACAGACGCTGGCTTCTCTAACTTCCTCAGTGGAAAGGGCAGCCTCAAGGTGGGTCTTGCTGTCTCTCTCTCTTTGTCTCTCTTTGTCTCTCTTGCTATGTTTTCTTTGTGTAGAGGAAGCAGCACACTACGTGTTGTGTGTATGTCTTCTGTGGCAGGTGACAGGAGAGGCCAATGAGACTCAGATCTGTGAGGCGCTGCGTCGCTACAGTGAGAGGGAGGGCTTTGTCAGAGAGGCTCTGTTTCATCTCTTCAGTCTCACACACGTCATGGAGAAACCACGCCCTGACATACTCAAGGTACACACACACACACACATTATGTCATTCTGTCTCCTCCACCCTTCACCTCAATCTAGATCTTACTACAGCCTGGCTCTTAGTCAGTGGTACAACTTTTTATAAAGTAATTTATTCTCTTCTCCCTATTTCTCTCTGCCTCTATCTTTCTCATTAGTTGGTACTATTGGGGATGAAGAACCACCCTGCCACCCTGAACGTCCAGTTGGCAGCCAGTGCATGTGTGTTTAACCTGACCAAGCAGGACCTGGCAGCGGGCATACCTGTTAGACTGCTGGGTACAGTCACTCAACTACTGCTGGAGGCCATGAGGACCTTCCCTAACCACCAACAGGTACACACACACACACACACACACACACACACACACACACGCACTCACCTTCTCCGTCATATTGTTTACACATACAGTGCCTTCGGAAAGTATTCAGACCCCTTGACTTTTTCCACATTTTGTTACATTAAAGCCTTATTCTAAAATTGATTAAATAGTTTTTTTCCCCTCATCAATCTACACACAATACCCCATAATGACAAAGCAAAAACAGGTTTTTAGAAATTTTTGATAATTTATCATTTAAAAACAACTGAAATATCACATTTACATAAGTATTCAAACCAGATGTGACGCTTGGCATTCAGGCCAAAGAGTTCAATCTTGGTTTCATCAGACCAGATAATCTTGTTTCTCATGATCTGAGAGTCTTTATGTACCTTTTGGCAAACTCCAAGCGGGCTGTCATGTGCCTTCTACTGAGGTGTGGATTCTGTCTGGCCACTCTACCAAAAAGGCCTGATTGGTGAAGTGCTGCAGAGATGGTTGTCCTTCTGGAAGGTTCTCCCATCTCCACAGAGGAACTCTAGAGCTCTTTCAGGTTCTTGGTCACCTCCATGACCAAGGCCCTTCTCCCCCGATTGCTCAGTTTGGCCGGGCAGCCACCTCTAGGAAGAGTCTTGGTGGTTCCAAACTTCTTCCATTTAAGAATGATGGAGGGCACTGTATTCTTGGGGATCTTCAATGCTGCAGAATGTTTTTGGTACCCTTCCCCAGATCTGTGCCTTCGACACAATCCTGTCTCTGAGCTCGACAGACAATTCCTTCGACCTCATGGCTTGGTGTTTGCTCTGACATGCACTGTCAACTGTGGGACCTTTTATAGACAGTTGTGTGCCTTTCCAAATCATGTCCAATCAATTGAATTTACCACAGGTGGACTCCAATCAAGTTGTAGAAACATCTCAAGGATGAGCAATGGAAACAGGATGCACCTGAGCTCAATTTCGAGTCTCATAGCAAAAAGTCTGAATACTTATTTTAATAAGGTTTTTCTATTTTTAATAGATTTGGTAAAATGTATTAAAACCTGTTTTCGCGTTGTCATTATGGGGTATTGTGTGTAGATTGCTGAGGATTTGTATTTATTTAATCCATTTTAGAATAAAGCTGTAACGTAACAAAATCTGAAAAAAGTCAAGGGGTCTGAATACTTTCCGAAGGCACTGTATCCTGTTTCTTCCCATCTGCAATCAGATGGGCTAGGGGCTATTTGAGGACCAGGCCAGAGTGTGTGTTTTGTTCTGTTTGGTCTCTGACCGCCATCTTGGATCCTCTCTCTCCAGTTGCAGAAGAATTGCCTGCTCTCTCTGTGCAGTGACCGGATACTGCAGGAGGTCCCCTTCAACAGGTACACAGTTACGTTGACTTACTGTAGATGCCTAGGTCAGCATCCCGGAGTCGCCTCTTCACTGTTGACGTTGAGACTGGTGTTTTGTGGGTACTATTTAATGAAGCTGCCAGTTGAGGACCTGTGAGGTGCCTGTTTCTCAAACTAGACACTAATGTATTTGTCCTCTTGCTCAGTTGTGCACCGGGGCCTCCCACTTGCGCTGTTCTGTGCAGGGAGTAGTACACAGCGTTGTACGAGATCTTCAGTTTCTTGGCAATTTCTCGCATGGAATAGCCTTCATTTCTCAGAACAAGAATAGACTGACGAGTTTCAGAACTGTATTTCTGATCAATTTGATGTTATTTTAATGGACAAAAATTGTGCTTTTCTTTCGAAAACAAGGACATTTCAAAGTGACCCCAATCTTTTGAACGGTAGTGTATGTAGCTATAGCCTACCATTGCCGTTGCCCGTTGATATGGCCAGTAGTGACTTTGCCACTTGAAATGTCAACAAACAGGCAAATATAGCCTAGAAGTGGATTCAGCACCACTGACAGCGATCGGAATTCGGTCCAACAGAGGAAAGTGGAAGATACATCATTTTGACGAAAAACAATAAGTGACTGACTGTATGTTATTGTTAATGAGGGATAGCTGGAGAAAATCGGACCTCTCTGACATGAAAATAGATGGCCCTCCCTTCAGTAAAATATACTTTTACCTGAACCTCCCATAACACTTTTTTTTAAAAACAAGTGACCCTACCCTATACCCAAAATAATAATGAAAACACAAAGTGCATAGCAGAGAACATGCCTAGAGTTTACCCTCACTCCTAGGACAGACCAGAACCTTAGATATTCCGTTTTTCATCGTTTTGTAAGCATTACATGGCAAAGTAGCTAGAAGGTTGTGGATTCGCAGACCACCGCAGACAAGGGTAGGGGTGAAAAGATCTCCATTATAATAAAAGCACTGCATGAATCTATCATCTTATTTGCTGTCTGAGAAAAAATAGCCTTTTATAAACGTATTTCATAAAATTTTATGTCATTTTACATGACTGGAGACAAGCAGAATCTTTTTTAATACCACAACAGAGGATGACAACAAATGAGCACATGTTGCAGCACCGGAGACATTTTGATTTGTATACAGGCTATTGTTAAAAAAGATGATAGACAACTTTAGCACCGTTCTTAGCTTAGACCAGGGGTGTCAAACTCATTTTAGCTCAGGGGCCACATGGAGGAAAATCTATTCCCAAGTGGGCCGGACCGGAAAAATCATGGTGTATATATAACTTAAAAACAACAACTTCAGATTGTTTTCTTTGTTTTAATACGATCAACATACAACATAAAGCTGGAGCCTGAGGACAGTGTCCAAAATAGTACAAGCACAACATCACTATTAATCATAAAACACGTCAAGTTTATTTGAAAATTCTAAAGAAAAAGAACACACAAACACACAATTCCTCAGTGATTAACAGAACTGTTTCACAGATCACAGAACTATATCAGGGTGTCATTTCTCAGGCAGAAATGTAGATAAAAATAATGAAATCCTGTTCCCCAAACAAGTGCAAGAACCACAGAGTCAAGAATAGGTTAAATATACAAATAAAATAAAATCAATTAAAAACAATAGCACATCAACATAAAAACATATAAACATAAAGCTGGAGCCTGAGGACAGTGTCCAAAAGCACAACATCACTATTAATCATAAAACACCTCAAGTTATTTGAAAGTTCTGAGGACAAAGAACACACAAACACACAATGCCTCAGTGATTCACAGAAGTATATCACAGATCACAGAACTATATCAGGGTGTCATTTCTCAGGCAGAAATGTAGATAAAAATAATATAATCCTGTTCCCCAAACAAGTGCAAGAACCACAGAGTCAAGAATAGGTTAAATATACAAATAAAATAAAATCAATTAAAAACAATAGCACATCAACATAAAAACATATAAACATAAATCTGAAAGCGTTGCTCAAACTCCCGTAACAGTCCCGTTATTTTATCTTTGAACCGCTTCATGTCTGCCACATGTTGGGTCGCGCACACATTTTTCAGACAGGGGAAGTGAGCTGCATCACCACCGGCAAGTTGCGTCTCCCACAATGACAGCTTCAACTTGAAAGAACGTATGCTGTCATAATACTGCGTGACAACTTTGTTGCGCCCTTGCAGCTGTTTGTTCAAGTTATTCAGGTGCTCTGTAACATCCACCATAAATGCAAGGTCCTGCATCCATTCTGCGGAATGAAATTCTAAAACTGGTTTGCCCTTTTCTTCCATGAACTGTTCAATTTCTTCTCATAAATCAAAGAAACGCCTCAGCACAGCACCTCGGCTTAACCATCTTACCTCAGTGTGGTATGGCAGGCCATAGATGTGGTCTTTCTCTCTGAGAAGGCTGTCAAACTGACGGTGATTCAGGCTTCTGGATCGGATGAAATTAACAGTTTGGATGACCACCTTCATGACGTTATCCATCTTTAATGACTTGCAACACAAAGCCTCCTGGTGCAAAATACA